AAATAATATAATATTGATGTGTGATATAGTAATTGTGAAACAGTGTAATACTGACGGTCGATATGATAATATAATATCACAGACGAGCTGTATGAGTAGACTAAACATGTGTATCTTTTCGGCCCATGTGCCTTTACCATTTTCGTGTCACATCCTGTCATACCGACTCAGCCAGGCTTTACACCGCAGCGCCGCCAGTTAACGGGAATTAAAATCAAACAATATGGACAGTGTTGCCAGATCTGTTCCCCCGAGTTATTCATTGAAAAGCTGTCTATTATTATCATATCCAGAAACATTACTTGCGAGACGATATTAAGGGCTAATATAATGGCTGCAAAGTGATACAATGTACAACGAATGTGACAGGTGAAAAACGCGTGTCGAGGAGAATAGTGTAAGCGTGTATTTGATCGCCGTGGAAATCGAGTAGACGGCGCATAGCACAATAGAATTCATCGAGTATAGACACGCTATATTCTAACGATCGTCTGACCTCCAAATCCCCCAGTAAGTTGGAGGAATTGAATTGAGAAATCTTCTGGAAGGATTCCAGCAGCCAGACAGAGCGACGTCGATACCGAAAAATTGATTTACGATCGTGATCGATCCTTTGAACTACGTCTCTGAACGGCGCCTTAAATCTCAATCGCATAAAAAAATCGTCGTAAAATCCTCCCAATTCGCCTCCGAACAAATAGAAACGAAAAATATATCAGAATACCGTTTCAGGGTACACAGTTTATGAAACGAGAGGGGCGAAGGAGAAGAAAAAAAAAAAAAAAAGAGGTAGCGGTACTCGATCGGCGACGTGATGGTCGCCCAAAACACACACACACACACACACACACACACACGAGGAGAGGTGGCGAATAAATGGCAGAAAGTTGGTCCTCTCTCGGTGTACCGCGGTCGACTGCGGGGCTCGCTGGCCCTCGCATTGGTTTTTATTTGCTGTTTGTTATACACTGAGTAGACATAAGAGTAGGCAGGCTACCGGTAACCGTAGTCAGACCGCCTACCTACGAGCCACGGCAATAAAATGGATTTATCGATGCCACAAAATGGCGGGCTCCTTGCCCGCTCTGCCACCCTCCCGCCGCCGTCATGCTCGTACTTCATTTTGCCGATATTAAATGCTGTAAATTCAGGCCGCCGCCACTTTTCCTATCTCTCTCTCTCTCTCTCTACTTTTCTTTTCTTTTTTTTTTTTCATTTTCGTTCCACCCTCCGCCGCAGCGTTGGCGAAACTACGAAAAAGAGCGAAAAAAATTCGGCGAAACTTCGCCCGCCCTTAATCCACGCTCCCCGGCGCGTAAATTCAATCTCGGTCGAAAGGTGACAGAGAACCGCGAAATCGAGAAAGTTGCGCTCTCTTTGAAATTCGCCGAAGGGCAAGGACGATTAATAAGTGTTCGTTCGAACCATTTTCCGTTCGTTGTTTGCACAGGGTGTTTTGTAACTTGTGGAACCCACTTTGAGAGCTGATTCTATGCCTAAAAATAATGAAAAATAGTCATATAGATATATATGACTTTTGAGAAATAATGAATTTTGTAAACAGAGCAAACTGTAGTAAGCTAGTTTTACCAGGGATGGTATATTCATAATTTTCATAATAATCATAATTGGGATGAAGAAAACCCACGTGTTATTGCGCATTCACGACATCAACGCCAATTTAGTTTAAACGTATAGGGTAGGAATAATTGATAAATTTTTAATTGGACTTTTTTCTCTTGATGGGAAACTAACAGGCACAAAGTACGTTGATTTTTTGAGCACGCGTTTACACGAAATATTAGAGGAAGTTCCAGT